GAAGTCATTTAAAGTTACCTTTCCTATAGAGCGGGTATATACCTTGTTCTTTCATTAAGCAAACTAAATAGCCTTATGTTATTTATCTTATTTACACGACGGCATGTCATTTCAGTCTCTACGTTATGCTCGCGCTCTCTGTATCACGCACACACACACACACACACACACACACACACACACACAAGTGAGCACACTCCCACTAGTATTTGTAAATATTAAGCCGCAAAACGATTCATATTTAAATATGAATTCTGCGTGTCTCTGTGATAATGAATGGCACAGACGTGCGGTTTTGTGTAGCACTCGTACTGAAACGCTTGTGACGCTTCCAGTGATATTAACCTCTGCCGTCTCACTAATGAGGACATAAACACATGAACAACATCTCCAGAACTGCCCTGAGAGTCACTTCATGAGCATTTGACCGTTTCATTTGAGTAAAACTATCATCATGTCATACACACACAGAAATGTAAAGGTATTCACGGCAACCCGTCAAAATAAACGTTCGGTTTAACTTGAGGGCATTGTGGCAGAAATATATTACTGTTGTTGAGTAGAATGTACGTAAAAGACTGTTACTACTACTACTTCTAAAATTATTAAAACCTTATTTTTAAGGATGTTAAATCAATGTTTTAATTGTAATATTAAATTACCTTTATTTTCCAAAAAATTAAATGTTTAATTTTCATTACTTAAAAGATGGATTAAATGAATATTTTATGCCTTAAAACAAAATGTAAATACACAACACAGAATTTCTGAGCAAAAAAATCATAAGACTATTGTAAGAATAAATGAAACTTGTTTTATGCTTTCAAATTAGACATGCTAAAACAGAATTTGGTTACAATAAAACATAAGGTTGGACAAATAAAACATTTCATAGGGCCCTAAACGTAATATTTGTTAAACTTTTAATAAATTGATGTTAAATTGTTTAATTTTCATGATTTTAATTAATTAGACATGCTTTTTGATTAATAAAATGTAATTTAACCATTAAAAATGAGTCCAGAAAAAAAACGGAATCTTATGTGTTTTGTTATCTTATGTTATGTGGCATGCAATATATATATATATATTTTTTTTTTGTTCTTAATATATGTTGTTTGTATATCTGGAGTTTGTAACAAAAATAATTTCCCCCTGGGATTATTAAAGTATTTCTGATTCTTTAGCAAGTCTACTGTTGTGTATTTTCACAACAGAGTTTTGACTTATTTTCCGTGTGTGTTTTTATACTTATCTAGTATCACTCATTTAAATGGGAAGCTTTTTATATCTTGTATGTTATACATTTTGTACCCCTCTGTCACTGTATTCATCGTTTTTATTGTTAATAAACAAACCACATCCATCCCCCGCACTTTTGAAAAGCTTGCTACGCCCCTGTTTGTGTGCATTGGGATTTGGGAATTATATTTTTTTCAAATAAAGCCAAGGTAACGCTCATTTTACATACAGCACACAGTGGAAATTACATGAATATGGCAGTGGGCAAATGTATAAAGTCACTAGTTTAAAGTTTGTCGATCGCGCGTCTCCAGTGAAGCTGAACTCTCCTCCTGTCAGCATTCAATTCGCACGGATCGACCGTCACCCAGAGAACACGCGATCATGCAGGATACAAATGCACACTTCACAAGATCTCACAACTGGATCCGACTAAGTCTGCAAGCTTTGTGAAATTAAATGCTCATTAGTCATTCAAAGATTTGTTTAAATTATATAAATGCGTCGAACAAGAAAGTATTATAATGTTTGCCTTTCTGTCAGCGCCGTCAAAATAAAAGTCCCGCCTCGAACGCGTCGGCCAAACAGGAAAACTTATCAGCCGATGCCGATATTTAAAAAAATGCCCAATATCAGACCACTAATCATGTTCACCAAGGCTGCATTTATTTGTTAAATGAAGATGGGAATATTGGGAGACATTACAATTTTAAGATATTTTCTATTTTACTGTATGAAATGTATTCCTGTCATGGCAAAGCTGCATTTTCAACGGCCATAACTTCAGTCTTCAGTGTCATATGGTTTTTCAGAAATCTTTTTAATATGCTGATTTGGTGCTCAGGAGAAGACATTTCTTATCCATGTTCTTATCAATTTAATTTGTGGAAATGTTACACTATAATTCTTTGAATAAAACGTTCAGAAGAACAGAAATATTTTGTAACATTATAAATGTCTTTTTTTTTGGTCACCGATCAAGAATTGAATAAAAGTACTAATTTCCTTAAATAGTTTTGAATGGTGTAATTAGTCTAAAATTATGTTCTCTGCATGGTTTTTGTTGCAAAGCTTGTGCTGGACTAATGAAATTTCCTTCATGTGAATGGGTATCAATGAAGTGTTGTTCAGTAAATTCTCTTTCCCATCATTCCAATTAAACATCCTTTGGGATATGGCTATTGAATTGAAAGTGAGTCAGTTCTTCAATTCAGTTTGCTCAGCCTTAGTAGACGTGAGTGGTTTTAGTGCAGCATAAACACCCACATTTGGGCTGAACATCAGAGATGTTTATGTAAGCACAAGTTTCCGATGTGAGCTGTCTCATGCTATTTTAATGATCCAACCGCAACTTGCCATTATGCAATGTATTTATGAATAGCTGGTGCAACAACCTTTACACATGATTTATGATAATAACAAAGTCATTCAAGTCCATTCTGCTTCAGACAAACGTTCCCTGTTTATGTATGAATCAAAATGTAATACCCATGAAATTAAATAGAAATGTTCTTCCCGCTAATTCCCGCTCTACCTCTCTTCCACACCATCCTTTCCAAGGGCCCTGAGGATCCAGGCACTGAGACAGAGGAAAGTCTTGGAGCGACAGACTCCACCCAACACATGGCAGATTCTCAGAGCTGTAAGTGAGCGTGACCTAACCATCTGTCTGAAAGGACGTGTCCGTCGTGTTGATCTTTCCATGGATTTACAATGAATAGGATTGAGGCTTTCAAGCTTCATAAAGTCAGTTGTTGGTGTTTTAAAATACTTTCTCCTTTCCTTTCATCTGTATGTGACGGCTCAGTTGAAACTAGCACATTGGATGTTTTTGAAGCACCTGTCACCAGTTCTGCCCCTCGACCTCACCCCCAATCATCCAGGAGACCTCAACATCCTCTTCCACCTCGTCTAAACATCTTGGCCCCACCTGCTCAGGAGTTGGGACCCCCTGCTCAAGTCCAGGTGTGCGCAAAGGCGTCGGTATACTGAGTGGCATACCCTGAGGAGCTTTTTCTTAGTTTGCTGTTGTTAGGCATTGCTTGGAATGTGTGTTTAAAAAAATAACTTGCATGTGTCTGCAGCGGCTCCCGGTTCGACGGCCGTCAGTGGGACGAGGCCTCCAGCTTTCTTCTGGAATGGCCAGTAGTGCAGTGAGTTGCTTTTTGGTTCTTGGTTTGGTTGTGTGGCGTGTTTGCGTCTGAGCTTGAATGCTTGTCAATCAATCTGTTTTTATCTTTTTTTTGTTGTTGTTTGTTTTCCAACAGCAACATTTCTATGAGGATGATGACAGGATGGTTCCTAGTACCCCTACACTTCCTCCTCCTCGCTCAGACGGATTTGCTGAAGCAATCCAGTATGTGTTTTTGCCTTTACACTTTGCTGTGGTTGTATTTTTTATTTAGCCAAATGACTGATTTATTCTCTATTGTATGAAGTTCTCCACAGGTGGCAGGCGTGTCACGATTTCGATTCGGTCCTTCAGATGATCTCCCGCAGACCAGCTCCTCTCACTCAGATCTTGGCCAGCTGCCATCACAAGGTAGCACACATTACCTTACATTCTTTTTCAGACTAATTACTATTCATGAACTGCTCTTTCTGTCAGATTTTGGTTGGTTGGTTCACTTTTTAATGCTGTCTTCTGTAGGTTTAGGCATGTATGAGAGTTCTGTTTTCCTTGGAGCTCATGAGGAGGAGTCAGGAGGCCGCAGTGTGCCCACAACCCCACTACAGATTGCTGCTCCTGGTACGAACAAAACCATGCATCCTAATAGTCAAAATAATTTTAAAATAATCTTGGAAAAGTGCAGGATTATGCAGTGGCCACTTGTGCAATTTCATTTACTGAGCATTCAAATGCCCCTCCAAAGCGGCAAAGACAGACACAGAGAGATGACAAGCCATTTCAAAATAGTTTTAGTATCCCATTTTATACCTAATTCTCCTCTACCATTTTACAATCGGTTAAATAATCTTTTTTTTTTTATCCATTCAGTGACAATTTTATCAGAAATCGTGGCAATTGAAGCGATTGAGCATGCTTCTCAGTCTGTGCCCATGGTGAGCACCTCCACACCCAGCCTTAGTGCTCCTGCAGGCCCGAGTGGAGTGGAGGAGAGAGACGACATGTTCATGGATGCAGGAGACAGGTAAACATGAGCCCTTAAATCTACCCACATGAGACACTGACATCACAATTAACTTCCACTGTTGTACCATAAGACGTTTGTTATTTCATTGAGAGATCATGGGCTCCATAATGGAGCAGGTGTTTAGTATGTGCATATTAAGATAACCGTGTCTGATAAATATTTCTGCAGTGCTGAGGCTTCATTTGAGGCTGTGTCACAGACTGAGGCGGAGGAACTAGCCCAGCTATCAGATGAGGCCTGTCTGCCTTCCACAAGCCAGGAACCTTCATCTAGTTCTGCAGGTAAAAATAAACACTAAAATTACGTTAACCTCCAATATCTCATATCAGTTTCACAAACTCTGTCTTTTCTCTCTCTCTCAGACACAAGCAGCTCTCAGCCTCCTAAAGTCAGAACGGGATCTGGGAGACAGTGGACTGTTGGTCGTGGTTCTAGGAGCTTTGTAAAGAGAGGTAAGAATATGTACAATTTTCTCCAACTGTGGCAAATATCTTTATTTTTTCATACACTTAGTTTTTAGCCACGATCAAGTGGATTTGACAACTTTCTTGCTGTAGATGGCGTCATGGGTATGAGGGGGCGTTTTGCCAGGTGAAGCAGCTCTGGAGCAACACATTCTCTCCAAAAGAACACCGCCATACCTTTTTTCTGCTTTAAGGCTATGTATTATTATATGTTTTGTTTGTTAGTTTAATGCTCTGAACAACCCATCAATGTTATTTGAATGATTTTACATCCGTACAATAAAATAGTTTTGAAGGAAATCTTTCTTTGTCCATAATTCTGTCTCCAAAGATGCAGCTTTACCATGAAATGTTGTTTTCCACTGCACGTAAGACAAGTGCATCACTAGAAATATACATTTACAATATATGGCATGAGGGAAAGACATGAATGACTCAGTTTTTTGAGGTTTCTGGGCATTTAAAGAAGCTGGTTGCTGAGCTTTCCTTTGGACCAGTAGCAGGTTTTAGGATCACTGGTTTTTCTCTTTCCATTTTCATGCTGTAATACTTGTCTGTGAAAGAAATGAACAGAAATGCAACATTAAGAGCAGTGTTTTTGTTCATTAAAAATATTATTGGTGAATAAAACAAATATCACGCATACAATAAAAACGCATATCTTCCATCTTTATTTGACCCTCTAACTCTAGCCCTCTCTATTCTAATTTTATTCTTTAAAAAAAAAAAAAAAACACTTGTCCCTTTTAGACTTGCACTCTATTCATTTGTTTTCTTTTAAACAAACAAAAAACTAACTTGCTTTCTAATCTTTTTGTATTCTGTTTTCTTTTCATTATACAATTAACAAAAGCAAAAAGATCTCTAACACTAGCTTGCTCTATTCTTTTTCTATTCAATCTATTTTCTTTTTATTTATTATTATTTTAAAAACCCTTGCCATGTGTTCTGCGTTAAGCTAACTGAGACTTGTTATAGCACTTGTATATCATCGTTCTTTAGTTGATTTTGATTGCTTCCATTGTCCTCATTTGTAAGTCGCTTTGGATAAAAGCGTCTGCTAAATGACTAAATGTAAATATCAGATTAAATATATAAAAAAATGTGAAATGTTGCACTGGCAACTGACTGAACGTTATTACATTTTTAAAAAAGTATAAACTTGGAAATGCATAAAATAAACGCTAATTCAAAATATTAATAAATACTAATATAGGATATAAATAATACAAAAATACTGGTTGAGTGATTAGCCAGGCTTTCATTTGTCCATCCATGACCAATTTAGCTACATTCAGACATCCACAAAACTCCACCTTGGTTGAGAACTCATTAGCTGTAACCTGAAACAGTGCTGGGACCGAGTCCAGTAGCAGCTTTAATGATTGACATAACACTCACTTTGAGAGAATACGTAATACTTGTATCCCTCTTTCACCCTTGAAGGAACCGACACGGCTGAGGTCACTATGGTCGGAAATCCTCTCCAGGTCTTTGAGATACTGATCACTTGCCCCAGAGCTGCATCTGTGAAAAGAAGAAATCTTAAAATGAACCAAAATGCTCAAAGGTCTGTTTCAGTTAAACTGTTTAAGGTCACTTATCTGGTCTGTTGGGCCTCACCTGGAACAAAATGTCCTATTTGAGGCCTTGGTGAAATATCTGTTCCAGGAAGTACTACAGTGGGTACGGAAAGTATTCAGACCCCCTTAAATGTTTCACTCTTTGTTATATTGCAGCCATTTGCTAAAATCATTTAAGTAAATTTTTTTTCCTCATTAATGTACACACAGCACCCCATATTGACAGAAAAACACAGAATTGTTGACATTTCTTGGTGAAACATCTGTTCCAGGAAGTACTATATAAAGAGATTATTTTACTTTTCTGCATGTTTGCACAAATGCTTGTCTACACACAACTTTCCCCTCTCCCTTCATGTCTAATTTCCAATTATTTTGTCATTTAAATGTGATTCATCTCTTAAACGTAATGCTGTATTGTTTGAAATGGCCTTATTCTCAATTTTATTGTGATTCTTTACCAGCTTGTCGTCTGGCTCTCGTTCTCACTGTAAACACAGGATATCTTGGCTTTTTCCCACAGCTTGGAGTAACCTGGTATGTGTACGTTTGTGCCATTCCACCTGCAGAAATCAATTTGAAAGTCAGAAACAGAGGAAAGTCTTGGAGCGACAGACTCTGACACCAAACTAATAAAAACAGGCACCCATAGTGTGCTTACAGAATGTACATGTGCATTTTTCTTCCATTTCTTACCTCTTCTGAAGAAGATTACCGTCTCTTTTCTGCTTCTGTACTGAGGTATAGATAAAGCAGCTGTGATATAACCAATCTGTCCGAAACCCTGGCTGATGGGTTTGGGAAAGCCAGGATCCATCATACCGTTCTCAAACCTCCAGTAGTTCCTTCCCTGTGAAATACGCACAAACAGGACATAGCAGATGTTGTCGAGCACCATTTCAGTTATAATTTTCTGTGATTGTCAATCTGTAGTGAATTGAATTGTTTTATATCAACCTTGAAGAAATAGGTTTTGCCCTGGCAGTTGCAGCGGGTGTAAACCGTGTCGATGGGAGATGGGATTCCCCACACATTTGTAATTAACTGAGGAGGATCAGGATTTCTCTGTTTGTCCAGTGTCCAAAAATAATGTCCTATAGAGAAGAAAGGGAAAGTGGAATTTTATTCACAAATAACATCTGGTTTTACAGTTCCCTACACTTTGGAAGTTTTTAGTTTTTGATTAATGAAATATGTTTTTTTCCTTGTACTCTGTTCTAACGGTTAACAACTGAAAATGGAAAAGATAAATGCTTTGAACCAAAAATAAATGAAGTGTTGCTATAAAGCGAGCGTGCATCTGGTACTGACCTCTGAACACCACAATGGTACCATTTCTGAGAGTAGTCAAACCACTGACTGGACGCCCACTGCAGAGGTTAGTGTCATAATCATCTGCAAAAGAAAAAAAATGTTTTTAATTATTTAAAATAAAAACAGAACCAAAGTACTGAAATTATCCAAAACTTTCTTTAAAAAACAACAACTAGAATTTGAAATATTCATGCTAGCATTAGAGTGTCAGCACAGTTTTCAGATGGGAAGCATGAAGGCTCTTAGTGGAAACAAAATAACAATAAATATTAAGCATGAACGATAAATATACAATAATTATAAAGCATGAAAGCTCTTACCAGCTTGATAATCTTTAATACTATCTGTTTTGCCATTCTTGTCTGAGCTAGGTTTAAGAGGTTTTTCCGCTGGTTTGATTGGAACAATGCCACTAGGATCCTTGAGAGGTTCCTTTGGTTCGGATTTGTCGTTCTTGTCTATGCTAGGTTTAATGGTTTTTTTTGTTGGTTTCACTGGAGCAGGAGCAGATGGCGTCTTCTTTGGGACAGGGGTAGCTCTAGGATCCTTGAGAGATGACAATTCCTCTGGGTTTTCACTCTGTGCCTTGGTAGTCATTTCAGTGACATAATTGTCTGTTGGTAATGCACTTGAAGAAACTTCTGTTGGTGCTGTGCCTGATGGACCTTCTGTTGGTGCTGTGCTTGATGGACCTTCTGTTGGAGCAAAGGGTCTGAATATTTAGGACCATGTGATATTTCAGTTTTTCTTTTTTAATAAATCTGCAAAAATGTCAACAATTCTGTGTTTTTCTGTCAATATGGGGTGCTGTGTGTACATTAATGAGGAAAAAAAATTTACTTAAATGATTTTAGCAAATGGCTGCAATATAACAAAGAGTGAAAAATTTAAGGGGGTCTGAATACTTTCCGTACCCACTGTATATAAAGAGATTATTTTACTTTTCTGCATGTTTGCACAAATGCTTGTCTACACACAACTTTCCCCTCTCCCTTCATGTCTAATTTCCAATTATTTTGTCATTTAAATGGGATTCATCTCTTAAACGTAATGCTGTATTGTTTGAAATGGCCTTATTCTCAATTTTATTGTGATTCTTTACCAGCTTGTCGTCTGGCTCTCGTCCTCACTGTAAACACAGGATATCTTGGCTTTTTCCCACAGCTTGGAGTAACCTGGTATGTGTACGTTTGTGCCATTCCACCTGCAGAAATCAATTTGAAAGTCAGAGACAGAGGAAAGTCTTGGAGCGACAGACTCTGACACCAACCTAATAAAAACAGGCACCCATAGTGTGCTTACAGAATGTACATGTGCATTTTTCTTCCATTTCTTACCGCTTGATGGACCTTCTGTTGGTTCTGCGCTTGATGGACCTTCTGTTGGTGCTGCGCTTGATGGACCTTCTGTTGGTGCTGCGCTTGATGGAACTTCTGTTGGTTCTGCGCTTGATGGACCCACTGTTGGTTCTGCGCTTGATGGACCCACTGTTGGTTCTGCGCTTGATGGACCCTCTGTTGGTGCTGTGCTTGATGGACCTTCTGTTGGTGCTGCGCTTGATGGAACTTCTGTTGGTTCTGCGCTTGATGGACCCACTGTTGGTTCTGCGCTTGATGGACCCACTGTTGGTTCTGCGCTTGATGGACCCTCTGTTGGTGCTGTGCTTGATGGAACTTCTGTTGGTGCTGTGCTTGATGGAAATTCTGTTGGTTCTGTGCTTGGAGGACCTTCTGTTGGTGCTGTGCTTGGAGGACCTTCTGTTGGTGCCGTGCTTGATGGACCTTCTGTTGGGTTCTCATCAGCAGGAAGCATGCTGCTTGCATCTGTAGAGGACAAAACTGCTAAATGCACATGAAAAATAGTCTCTGCTGGGACATGAGTTTAACTAAATAAAAGTTAAATGTTTAATATTGTAATCATCAACATATCTTTGTGAACAAATGTTTCTTTTTGTGGTGTTTTGCATATTTGACAAATAAAGCTTATGATTATTATTGCTCACCAAGGCCCTCAGAAGGTGTGGACTCACTTTCATCTTCAGGGATCGTTAACTCTTCTGCCTCGGCATAAGAAAACAAAGTGATTTCAACGGAGTACAATGGGTTTGCCTGTGGTCACAAAATCATATTGACTAAAACTGTTGTGTGTCTTGCCAAATGGGCAATTAATGTTGTCTGCTGTTTTCTCTATTGTCATAAATAATCAAATGTCAAAGTAACCTAGTTTATGATTACTTTTCAACAAGTGTCCTACAGGGGAAAAAAAGATAAAGAGAGTCAAAAAGAAAGACTCACCTCCAATCCCTTCATCATTGGTCATCTCCTCATTGGAGGTTTCTAAAAAAAAAGATATCACAACTATACTTTAAGAGTACTGTTACTAAGAAATCAAGTTAAATGAAGCAAAAGATCAGTACACTTTGATTTAGTTATTTGTGACAAAGCTACAGTAATTATACCTGTAGACTTTTTATTCTTTATGTTTAGGCATAAGTTAGCGGTCCTTTGAGCTGCGGTGGCAGTTTTTCTTGGTTTTAAGGCAGTATCTGTGACAGTCACAGAGGCATAAGCATAAAATCAGGGCAAGATTAGATGCATGCAAATGGATGGATACATCTCTAATTCCACATTTCTGTTGTTAATTATATGAATGAATAAATAATAAATATTACCATTCAATTGTTTGGGGTCAGTATGACAGTACTTTTATTTTGCAAAGAAGCAATAAATTGATCAAAAGTGACAGTAACGACTTCTACATTGTTAGAGAAGATTACTATTGCAAATAAATGCTGTTCTTTTGAACTTTCTATTCATCAAAAAATCTTGAAAAAAATTCAAAAGGAATATTAAGCAGCAAAACCCTTTTCAAATTCAACATCTGAAGAATCATGTAACAGAAGACTGGAGTAATGATGCTGTCACATGATGTTATTAATGTTATTAAATGTTATTAAAAAAGTAATTTTAAATTGTAATAATATTTTATAATATGACTGTTCTTACTGTATTTTGATCAAATAAATGAAGTCCTGGAGAGCATAAGAGACTTCTTTCAAAAACAAAAACAATCTTACTGAACCCAAAGTGTGATATCCTGTTTATATATTTTTGCAATCAGTGTATGTTAGTCACATCAAAAACATACAATTAGTATCAGTTATTGCAAATCTATTTACAACCACACATGCATTTGCAGTGTTATCAGTGATCATTTACGCAGGTATTATTTGATTCAAATATGCTGTAGTTCCTTTATCTACTACACACAAAAAACTCTTTGTAGTTTACATTATTACCTTCCACCAAGCACATGTCCTCATAATCAGGGCAGCACTGATTGTATGAGACACAGTCAATATCACAGTGACATGGATTGCCTCTATGAAAAGGCTCCCCACAGCGTCCTTTGCATGAGTCCTCTGTGATCACAAATAATAGCAATGCAGTCTCACCAAAATTATTCTACAGACTGTTACAAAGAATATAGACTACACCAGTGCTTATGACATTCACATCAAATGCTACTCATTGCGTAAACAGCCCCAGAGGAGAGTTCATATGAAACCTTACTTGTAGTACACATCTGTGTAAAGTCTGAACAGCACTCATTTAAACTCAGACACTCGTAGTCACACTGGCACAAACTTCCTCTGTAGTAGCCTTCGCCACAACGACCCCTACAGCTACCTGGACAGAGAACAGTGTTTACTTTAGAGAGAACAGACTTTGACTGGGAATTCAGTATATTGAGAAACACGTATGTACATTTAGACACAGAGACAAACACAACAAGAGATGAGTTAATTATTTACAGTCAACTGAAATCAGTGCATGTTTTAGAGTAAAACAGTTCACTATTATATTTACAGAATAAAAACCGATAGACAGACAGACAGATTATAGATAGATAGACAGATTGATAGATAGATAGATAGATAGATAGATAGATAGATAGATAGATAGATGGCAGTATAGATTGAACAATATTCTGCTGACTTACTTGGATCCGAAGAGCCTGTGGAGGCATATGCAAACAGCAGCAGTAAGGACAGATGTGTAGCCATCTCGGTTGTTCACTGTTGGAATAACCTATAGAGCCTCTGTTTTTTCACCTGCAGTGATCTTCACTTTTATATAGAGGCAGAATGCGTTGGTGTTCCCCTGTCGGTCCAATTATACAGTCAGTGATGAATTAGTAATCGTCTCGTTTGCAAGGGTGCGGTGATTCACATTGGGCAAGCAGACTTGCACATTCCCCCTCACTGTGTGTGCCTGTCGAGAACATTTACAAAGTTCGCTGGGTGACATCACAGACTATTTATATTCAAATGTTCCAACTTCCAGGTGGGGAAATAAACGTTAGACACAAAAATACATATTTATCAACGTTTTTAGGAAATGTATTTCTGTCAATAGGATTTTCTGGGTGCATTTTTCGTCTCTAGCATCCAAATAATCTCAAATACGTATAAGCAAAGCTTTCTGCGACATATAAAGCATATTATAGTGATAATTAATGGTAATAGCCTAGGCTATTTATGTTTTGTCAATGTAGTGTCCGTGTCCAGGTGCACCGTAACGGGGTGAAGGTTAGGACGATTCCAAGGGCCCGGCGAGGGAGAGGCGTTTTTTACCGAGGGGGAACCCTCCAGTCTTTTTTTCCCTCTTCCTCAGCTGCTCCTGATTTATGTCATTTTGTTTTTCTAGCAATTAATATCAAAACAAAAATCAAACAAAATTCTTGAAATGGCAGAATGAATACATTTAGGCATTTAACTACTAGCCTACTATTTAAAGACTAGTTTGTGATTATTTATTTATTTATTGTTTGTGATTATGTAATTATTTATTTGCAGTTGTTAATAAATATTCCTTACATTTAAATATTTTCCTTTTTTCTTATATAAAAAATTATCGTGTTTACATTGCCCGCATACTTTTATTACTATTTCTTTCCTTATAATTTATCTTCCAGACCAGTTTTATTATTAATTTTTTATTATTATTAATAATAATAATTATTATTATTATTACTACTACTACTACTACTACATTGCTGACACTGCCGTCTGGTCTTACCATGTACTCTGCCCTCCTCCGGGATGGCAAGCCTGCCTCCGTCTTTGTGCACAAGCAAGACAATGAAGATAAAGTCAATAAAGCTGCCAAGGTAAAAGTAAACAGTTGATATGTAACCGCACCAATGGCATACATTGGCTGTAAAAGGTTTGGACAAACCTACTGCTAATTCTCTATATACCTGTATATAATAGTAAAGTCACTTAATACAAATTATATATAAAAAAACACACTTAAATCTCAAATCTCTCAGCTATTTGTCATAAATTTACCTGATTCCTTTACAGCATTTGAAGACATTAAGGCACCCATGTCTTCTTCGCTTCCTGTCATGCTCAGTGCAGGATGGAGGTATACATTTAGTGACAGAACCAGTTCAACCATTAAAACGGCTGCTAGACAATCTTACTCCAGAGGAGATCTGCGCAGGCCTCTATGACCTGCTGCAAGCACTCGTCTTTCTACATGATAGGGTAAGAAACTGTTCATTATTGTTTTAAATATTTGTAGTAATATTTAGACACTTAAACTAAATCATTTCTTTCTCTTGTCTCTTAGGGCAAATCAAGTCACAACAATGTGTGCATATCCTCAGTGTTTGTCAGTGAAGATGGCCATTGGAAACTTGGGGGGATGGAAACTGTCTGCAAGTTTTCAGAGGCAACACCAGAGGTGACATCCGTAACTGCTTAAGTGTTGATTTATGCCTTTTACATACATTATAGTGAGTGCAAATCTCTTTTTTTTTACCCTCTGGGACTCAATTTCTCTTTTGTTTCAAAAGATTAAGGGAAATTACAATTTAATGACATGGTTCTGTTACAATTGGTTAAATACCTTTAATAACAAATATATACAAAGTACTGTAACTCTATTTATGTGTGACTTCCTCTCCAGTTTCTCAGAAGTATCCAGAATGTAAGGGAAAATGGTGCCATTCCTCCAGAGGAGAAGGTAGGAACCATATTTGTATTTTTTAAAGAAATTAAGACTTTGACTCGGCAAGGATGCATTGATGGTAAAGACATTAAAGATTTATAATGTTGCAAAGATTTCTATTTCAAATAAATGCTAATCTTTTAAACATTCTATGAATCAAAGATTCCCGAGAAAACAAATGTACAACAAAGCAGCATAACCGTTTTATAATAGCAAAAACATTGATAATAAGAAGAAATGTTACTTATGTACCAAAACAACATATTAGAATAAAAATTCAACTTTGCCATTGTACAAACAAATTACATTTCCAAATATATTAAAATAGAAAACAGCTGTTTAAATATAATAAATAAATGTAATAATATTTCACAATATTACTGTTTTTACTGTATTTTGAATCAAATAAATGCATCCTTGGTGGAGACTTCTTTCAAAAACATTATAAAAATCCTTCCAACCACAAACATTAATTTAATGTTAGTGTGTGTATATAATCATATTCAGATTTGTTGCCAGAATTTACAAGGCCTGGGACAAAATTAAAGGCTGACGACAGTCCTGATCATTATGTCTCAGCAATATAATCATGTTTTTTATTTTATTTTTAGCTTGAAGGATTCAAAACTCTTCCCGACAAGCATGCCCACTCCCGAGACGCTTTTTCATTCGGGGTGATGGTGGAGGCTCTTCTTCCACTTCTGACGGGACATGGTTAGTAACACTCTTAATTCAACAGACGCATGTAAAGCAGGCTGAGTGTGTCTAGGATTCATCCTGTTGTGGCAGTTGCTAAGCCCTTACTGCATAGACATTGACATAATTGTTAATGGACTGACAACTGCTTGCAAAAAGATTTTACATTTCGGGTACAAGTTTTCCATTCATGGCAGGTCATGATGTCTTCAAAGAACAAAATGATCCACATGAGCACTGTAATGGTGATGCAACCTTTTGGCTTTTATGTTGTTGTTTTGTGGAACAGGGCCTCACTGAAAACATATGCTCTGTTGTTTTTGTGCTATCTTTTTTTTTTCTTTTAGTCTCACTCACTAAATTGTGGTATGTTTTTCCATTCCCTGTTTCTTCCACATTTGTATTTATTTTTCCATGTCCGCTCCCCATCTTTGTAACCTCCATGTGCTCCTCCACCCAAACTTTCTGTCTCAGTCTCAGATGATTTATTGGAGAGTCTAAAGAACATGCTGCAGGCCAGCCTCTTGACCCCTGGCCCCATGTCTCGCCCATCTCTCAGCAGTTTGCTGACCCACAACTTCTTCAGGTTCGCTTTTAAAAACTTTTCTGATCAATAGTGGTCTTTTGAAATCAATTTTAATTTCACAAATGTCAATTTCACCTCTATTGAAGTAAGATTATTAAATGATTTAAATACCTAAACTTTGCGATATTTAATTCTTATAGAAATGACTTCTTAGATATCATGAATTTTCTGAAGAGTTTGACCCTGAAAAATGAAGAGGAGAAAAATGAATTCTTCAAGTAAGTTTCCCTTTCAAATGCATGATTTTATTACTCTAGAAGGGTGATGTGCTTAAATAACTAGTAAGTTTCTGAAGGTTTCTCTTGGACCGAGTTCAGAACCTCCCAGAGGAGTTAATTGCTACACGTCTGGCTCCTAAATTGCTCAATTCGTTGGTGTTTGCTGAGCCCATGGCTGTCAAAAGCTTCCTTCCGCACCTCTTACGGCCTAAGCAAGGTAGAACTAGTCGGTAAAGCTTTAGGAGATGCTTACTGTACACTTGTTTAGTAGCATTAGTCTCAGTTATGATGCTGACTGACTGTTTTCTGATGTCCAGACTCGAGTGTGAGCGCTGGTGAGGAGTGTCTTCTGTCTTTGTCTTTGTATCGGAGATACGTGGTTCCTCAGCTCCTTAAGCTTTATAAGGTGAACGAGGAGCATGTCAGGATCGTGCTTCTCTCCCACATTCATATCTATGCTGAGTTCTTTCCTCATGAAGAACTGAAAAATCTGATTCTTCCTCAGGTACTGTGACAATGTTTGTGTTCGTATCAACAGCTGAGTGATACTGAATTATTTTGAGTAAAGTGAGGATGTTTTTAAGTTGATACTGGGATTGTGTCAGTTATTTTTCTGCACTTTGTATCTTGCAGGTTTTGCTGGGAATGAGAGATACGAATGACTCACTCGTCGCTATGACACTACAGAGTTTGGCTGTGCTTGTCCCGTTGCTGGGAGCCCGAGTGGTTGTTGGTGGGGAGAGGACCAAAGTCTTTAAACGGACTACGCCAAACTTCACCAAGTCTACAGAGGTCACCCCAGAGAGTAAGACACTGTCTGTTAATGCACTTTTATAATGAGAGGGAGTTTATTAATTCTCTACATATTTAACTAAATAAGTTAATGACCATAATAAGTTAGCTTGATTGACTTTCACTAATTTTAATTAAGAATAATTTCTATTTATAAAAAAAAAAAACATTTAGGCTGCTTAAGTTGGTATATTAACCTGTATTCAATGTAAATATTATGTTTTGAGGCCACTGGAGGACACTGCTGCATCATTTTATATACAATTGTGACCCTGGAGCACAAAAGAAGACATAAAGGACCATTTTTTGAAATTTAGATTTATATATCATCATATGGAAGCTGAATAAATAAGCTTTCCATTGATGTATGGTTTGTCGAAATACAACTATTTGAAAATCTGGAATCTGAGGGTGCAAAAAAATCAAAATATTGAGAAAATCGCCTTTAAAGTTGTCCAAATGAAGTTCTTAGCAATGCATATTACTAATCAAAAATTAAGTTTTGATATATTTATGGTAGGAAATGTACAAAATATCTTCATGGAACATGATCTTTACTTAAAATCCTACATCATTTTGACCCATACTATATATTTTTGGCTATTGCTACAAAATATACCCGTGCTACTTATTACTGGTTTTGTGGTCCAGGGTCACAATTGATATATATTTGTTTTCTAGTAGTGCATTCAGTTCCTCTTTAGGCAAAGAAAGTAAATCTATACAAATATATATTAAAACAAATATTTAAAATTAATCACATTGACCACAAACAAATTAAACTCAAATAATTATTTGTCTATTAATCATCTACTAATGTGAAAACATTTATTCATGCATTGATTTCTGTTTAAAATAAATGCAGTTAACTCCAGGAGGATAATATACCATAGTTTCCACAAAAATATTAAGCAGCAGAATTGATTTCAGCATTCGATAACCATTAGAAATGATTCTTGAGCATCAGCATATTAGAATGATTTCTGAAGGATCATGTTACACTGAAGACTGGAGTAATGGCTGCTGAAAATTCAGCTTTGCTATCACAGGAATAAATGACATTTTCAAATACATTAAAATAGAAAGCAGTTATTTTAAATTGTAATAATATTTCACAATATTACTTCCATTTTTTATCAAATAACCATTAAAAAAACCCAAACCTCTTTTCCTCTGCAGCATCACCCGTGCATATTGTTGGGCCAATCCATCCCCATGTCTCACAACCACCAAAGGTCCTAAATCTGTTCCCTAAGGACTCGGAGGACAAAAAGGTGGTTTTAGAAAACATGTACTCCTTCCAAGCAACTGAAAAGACCAGCGCCCAGCACACCACAGCAGAGAGAGCAGGTATGCCACAACTGATTTTTAAAGTCACTCTTAACAGAAACATTTCTGAACTGCTTATTGTGAAGCAATAATTTGAAAAGAAAGGCTGAAGTTATCTTGAATTGCATTTGCTTGTCCCTACTTGGTGCTGGAATGTACAACCTTTCTGAATCAAGTGATCTCTCTAGTATTTAGCAGCGAGATGTCGTTCCCATTGAATGGGTACAGAATGGGCACACAAGCTGCAGACAACACGAAAACTAACAGAGCAGTGAGATCCGACGAAGACTGGCCTAACTGGAGTGACACAGAGGAAGCAGAAAAGGACAAGACCCAGTCAGTCCAGATTAGCATTCGGTCAGCAGATGTCCCAGGTCAGAGCAACTCCGCTGACAATGAGGATGAAAGCGAGGAACCCTGGGATGATTTTGAGGACTCAGAAGTGACCTCAGACCACTCGCCCTCGACTTCTTTACCAGTCTCTGTACCAAAGACATCAACAAAAAGCAAGGTGTTATCTCCAAGGTACTCAAAAGCACTCAAACTGAACTCTAGTGTCAAAAGCGCTCCAGATCTTAACCAAACCTCATCATGGGACACCGGTTGGAACCAGGCAACTGACACCCTCAAACCCAGCAAAACAAGTTTAGCATTAGAGCCCAAGCCAAAAAGCACAATCAAAAGCTCTGAAGCTGAATGTCTTGGGGAGGAGTTCACAATTGCAGTGAAGAAGAAGCCAGAGCCAGATCCAGAACTAGACTTCTTTGCAGACATGGTCCCAGATATAAAGCTGTCTTCCTCATCTCTTCTGATCCCCGTGGAGAGCTCGGTCAGAGAACCCATCACGGGACACACAACATCAGACCCATCAATAGATACACTGAGCCTCACTAGCAAGTTTGCAGCTGCTGACTTGACTGAGGTAAGTTTACCTATGCGACCAATCCGTTTCATGGCTTTATAATTATATGTGACCCTGGAGCACAAAAGCAGTCTCAAGTCACTCGGGTATATTTGTAGCAATAGCCAACAAGACATTGTATGGGTCAAAATTATAGATTTTTCTTTTATGCCGAAAATCATTAGGATATTAAGTAAAGATCATGTTCCATGAAGATATTTTGTAAATTTCTTTCTGTAAATATATTAAAACTTAATTTTTGATTAGTAATATGCATTGCTAAGACCTTCATTTGGACAACTTTAAAGGCAATTTTCTCAGTATTTAGATTTTTTTGCAACCTCAGATTCCAGATTCTCAAATAGTTGTATCTCAGGCAAATATTGTCCTATCCTAACAAACCATACATCAATGGAAAGCTCATTTATTCAGCTTCCAGATGATGTATAAATCTCAATTTCAAAAAATTTACCCTTATGACTGGTTTTGTGGTCCAGGGTCACATATGATGAACTGATGAGATGTTCTTTTGTTTTGCCTCAACAGACGGAGGCAGAAGGATGGGGCGATGACCTCAACTGGGAAGATGAGAACGCCTGGTGATCAGTGTGGTCCTCTACAGAAAGCCATATGAGAGAGATTCCAATACAAGAACGCTGTTACATATGCCATCATGATATTATCACTAAAGACCAACATAAAAATTGAGTAACTACGATTTCCTCCACCCAGTTAATCAGTCTACTGTCGCCATAGAAATTGATCGGCTACAGAAAAAGGTTTGGTCTTGTTTAGCTTTTTCAAGATGGCATGATGGACCTAAACATGCCAAATCAGATTAGGAGTCCTTCAGTCTTGTTGCACTGAGGAGGGGTACATAACCTGGAAATACATCCACTTCTAATGTCAGTTTTTATTTGTGCCATACAGCTTTTTTTTTTTTGTTCAGTGAGCCTTAGAGGACAGACAGCCTCAACTTGAGAAGAAATATATAGACTCTAATTTGTGTTCATTAGATTGGGTGAGAGCCTGACATAATTTATTTGTATTATCAGCTGCTGACTAAATAAAATGGTTTTATCGTATTTGACCTGGTTTTGGTGAAATTTTGATATAATATTGACTACGAAATTTGGTAAAAAAAAATAAAATCTCCCATTGATTTACGGCAAGGTCACACGGCCTCAGCAGACACTAACTGAGGCCAGCAGACATGCTTGATGGATTTCAGAACTGTGTGTTAGGCCTGTTGGTCTGTTGCCATTGGTCGGTGTTTGTTTTTACCCATTGAACATTCAATCAGTTGGTCAGGTCAGGAATGTCTGGACAGTATGGTATGATTTTCTAACAAACTGATGTAATCTGGTAATTGCTGGTGTCTATTGGTGCAGTGTGAATTAGTTTTTAGAATGTTCACAATTCAAAATCTTAACGGGCAGCTATGATGCCACTGTAATACTTAAAAGATTAACTGCAATTAGTCTTTTTATTGCATTTATTTGCACACCAAATAAAAACGGGCCTTTTTTTTTTACATATAAGTTGGCATGAGATGAGAATTCACCTAATCTTTTTTTGTAAATGCAATTTGTACATCTTATTGTGAACAATTTGTTTTTGTTGTTTTATTTTGACTCCATTATGTTTAATCAAAACATCGTGATCTTCCAGTGAAAATGTCTGATTACGTATGCAGAATTTCAGAATCATGCAGAATCATTTTGTTCACCTAAATACCACAAATAAGCATTTTCAATTTCTGCATGCATTTTTAAGAGCAACACTCACATCTCAACAACAACCAATGGATAGATCCAAGTCCTCACCCTACTTTTCTCATTTCCATGCATGAAATCAACAAAACACATTTTAATGAAGTTTAATACATTGAATTGTCTTTGGAGTGACTCTTTTCCATATAAACTTTAAAAAATACAACTTTTATACAAATATCTTTGGTGACTTTAGTAAACGTAGTGACATGGAACAAAGACAGCACTGTTAAAAGCAGCCATAGGTAGAGGTGTTGTAGTTGAATTAGGGCTGCTCTATTGCAGTGGTGTTGATTTGAGTTATCAGTGTCTGTAAGACCTCAAGTCTGGTCCTGACCCACTGAGGCGGTGACATGTTGTGGTCTGGCCCCACTATTGCCTGCAGGGCTTTCAAGGCACTTTCTGTTGTCTGGAGGCATCGCTCATACTCCTCTTCTACTTCCATCTCCGGTCTTGCCCTCTTCGTACATGGCTGAACAGGTAAAGAATTGCAGAATTAGTAAAAACTCGTTCCATAGGTATGTCAGGCAATAAAGCCATCCTCTCACTCACCTCCTCAGTAAGTGGCGTGTGTACAGGTGAGCTGGTCTCACGCTCCATTTGCTCAGTGTTTCTCTATTATACTCCTCCACTCCTTCAGACGTTCTAGTCTTGCTTCCTCAGACTCCTGGTGTGGGACGGTCTGTAGAAAGTGATACATTAATCTATATAAGGAGCACTGAAATTAGACAAATGCAAAAAATGTTAAGTCGATATGTATCTCATTTCATACCTTACTGAGGAATTTAACACTTTGGTTTTGATCTCCTCTGATGTCAATGTCTGAGAAATCACTTCCTCATGGTTGGTTACAAAAGAGACATTTGAACGATTACAAAACGACTGAAAAAAGTGATAAAGACGGATGTGATTTGAGATTTATTTATTACAAAATAAATATATAATAATAAAAACAAGTTCTTGAGAGAGAAAATGATCACTTAGCTTTACGTTATAGGATTTACCTATACTTGAAGTAAATGCACCCTTGAGTCAAGAACTTATTATACATTCACTTCTGATTTACTCTAATACAAATTTAAAGCCCCCCCTATAGTGAAAATCAAGTTTTTTATGTTGTTTATTTGTCTATATGGTGTTTTTAATATGCCTTTACACAAACCATGTGCCAATCTATTAATCAACACCATTGCTGAGTATTTTCTCCTTAAAACTGTAGTTTCCCAAAGGCTGACCCAGAAATACGGTTTGAAACACTGAGCCCTCGGTTTGCTACGTCACAAACCAATAACCAATCACGTCAAACGAATGTGTAACTACAGTATTCACTGTAGTTGTCCGCTAATAAAAACATAGTTGTATCAGTCATTATCCATGTATGCCATTATTTTGCGGTTACTACGGTTCAGTGGATCAGGAGGCGCTGGCTGTGTGACTGAGTGGAGGCGGGACTCATTTGCATATTCATAGATCAGCGTATAGTAAATGAGGCAAGGGTGTAGAGTTACATTCAAGCTATTTTAAGGCATGAGAAAATTATTTTCACAAGAAAAAACATTTAAATATGTAATTTTGATGATCAAAGATAAGTTTTAAGGGATAAAATATTTGACTACAGGGGGACTTTAACAATTAAGGAAAATGTCTGTTATTTAATAAAAACATGGTTGGTTATATAATAGGGAAATTCCCACCTCTGCAAAGAGGCCAAAGGCCTCCAGGACATGATGGAGGATCAGCCAGGATGGGTGTCAGGAGACCATTAAACAGGCCACTGATTCTGGGCAAAACTTGACACTGCAGTCACACACATACATATACAGATGCACACACAATGAAATGACCAATAAAAGAACTAATTTCCTGTCTTTTATTTTTTTACTCATATTCCACTTTTACCTGAATATTGGGAGAAATAAATCGGGGGGGGGGGGGGGGGGGGTGAATTTATTCATGAGTTGTCAGTCGTCAGTGTCACATGACCCTTCAGAAATCATTCTAATACGTGGATTTGTTGCTCAAAAACATTTGGGGACATCAGATGCCCATTTTCCACAAGTTGGTATGATTCTTTAGGGCTTCATGAAAAGTCTACAACATACTTTGGTTAAAATTTCTCAATGGTAGTGTAGAACAACCCCCTTTTTAACTTGTAAAAAACAGCTCGGTTCACACCGAGCCGTTTCGGCGCATGTCCCTTTAAATGCTAATGAGCTCTGCTCACTCCGCCCCTCTTTTCCGTGAGGTGAAGAGCCATTCTCAAGAGACTGTAAACTTTAGCCACATTCGTCGTGGAACTTGCTAACTAGCACATTATTAGGAAAGGTGATTTGCAAAGAAATTGATATAAATTTAGGTAGAAAAAGATATATATATAAAAAAGCTTCTGTTGGAGAAGCTGGATCACGAATGATTCGCACGAACAAACAAATTTAGGTAGATCAGGGGCGCATTACCTTCAAAAACAATCCACTGTGTATTCAGTGGCTCAGATGTCGGGAGTAAATGATGATGGCTGTTCATTATTACATCCAACAACAAAAGACCTCAATCGCTTGGGAGACATTCTTGTCTACACCTGCTACGGCATCAAAACAATTTACACAAAAGCGGACTGTTTGCAGCTCACTCGGGGCGGGTCAATGCTAAAATGGCAGTGTTGGTGGTCAATAGTCGTGGGAGGGGCCAAGAATCTTTAAATGGCTTGATCTGAGACAGTGCTTACAATTTTTGGGGATTTAAAAAAAAAAGCCCTGGGTGGATTTTTATCATTATAGGGTGGTTGTGCATACTATGGAAGCCCGTTTCCGCCACTAAATAAAAAAATATAATTCTGTAAGTCATAATAATGAGAAACTTTCTCGAAATAATGACTTGGTATCTCGTAATAATGAGAAACTTTCTCGAAATAATGAC